TGAACACATTTAATACTATTTTTTTTCCAAAAAGATTAATTATTATTTACATCTCTTAGTCGCCTCCCTCCCACACTGAGTTCCTGCTACATTGTTACACAGCTCTCACACAAATCACAGACTATATACGGAAGATAGCAAACTGGCTGCCTTAAAAACAGCAGAAAATGTGCCGCCTAACAGCGGCGCCATCTGATGAATTTCCAGCATAATCATATATTTCCAGATGCATATTGTTGCTACCGTAGTTACTTCAAGATGCTTATTGTTAACTTGTTCATCCAGACATTTAATTGAATAATAAAACACTGTAGGTATGACGAATCTCCAAAACATTAAATAAACGTTGCCAGACGGCAACCTTGGTAGAGTCATCTAGCGGATTTCCAACAAAACTTCACTATTTGTCGTCACAAATCGAGGGAGTCTCTTTCCTGTCTTCCTTATATAGTCTTTGCAAAAAAGAATCACTTGATATAAAGGAAACACAGACATACGTACTGACAGACATACATACTGACCCATGAAACATACAGACATACTGAGTCGTGAAACACAGTCATAAAACAAAAACTCTTTACTGGATTGGAGTTTTGTTGATAACGTACACACACACACACACTCTCTCTCTCTCTCTCTCCTATTAACACAAAACTCTCGAGGCATTATTCACTAGTATTGACAGGGACATAATTCCGGGTGAGAGTACCGATACCATACATCACCAGGAGAACATTGTGTACATTCCTGTCCATCGGTTGGGTGACAGCTGGTGATCAAGACACGTTACACCTCAGTCCCCTCCGTCACGTCACACCTCAGTCACCTCAGTCCCCTCCGTCACGTCACACCTCAGTCACCTCAGTCCCCTCCGTCACGTCACACCTCAGTCACGTCACACCTCAGCCACGTCACACCTCAGTCACCACCAGGTTAAAACACAAACTATACCCATCGGTCTGGTAGATACAACATAAACACAACATTTATTTCTTAGGTGAGACAAACAGATTAGGTCTGTTTAAGATATGTGAACAAGGAGATAAACGAGAACAATAAAGAGAAAGAGAGAGAAGGAAGAGAAAATAACACCTCCAGCCACACATATAATCTCTACAACTACAATAATACATTCCAAATATACCAATAGTAGTAAGGAATGTCTGGTACCCATATGTCAGTTACAATATACTGGTCTGAATCTACGGTGGATAAGAACGAGGTAATTACTACAGAGGTTTCGATATTTTAACTATTTCTTCTAATAAATCAATATAAACTAATATAAACTACATCAATGACGTTAAACTGTAATTAAACTACCTATTGTTCTTCCTATACCACGATGGAAATATTAATAACAAAAAAAAAGAAATATAAAAAAATAGCAATAATGGCCTTTGAGTTACGCGGTGGGAAATGACCAGAAAAGAAAAATGTTGTGTATGAGTGTGGTGGTGAAAGAGGCGTGTGTGAGGTAGTAGTGTCGACCTCATGGATACTGGAGTTGAGGTGTGAGGTGATGGTGATGCTAGGATAGTGATGTACAGTGAAGTTTATTGGTGTACGGTGGTGTTTAGTTATGTATAGTGACGTAAAGTGGTGTACAGTGAAGTATAGTGATGTATAGTGATGCATGGTGGTGTACAGTGAAGTATAGTGATGAATGGTGATGCACAGTGAAGTATGGTGATGTACAGTGACGCTGAATGACGTGCGTAGATGCAAAGCAGAAACAGAGAATAAAGAAAAATTATGATTAACCTCAACTTAATAATAATAATAATAATAAAAGTTACCCTTCACAAAAATACTAACACAATGAACAGACCCAAGACGAATCAGATCACTCAAGTTATTTCTCACTGTTGGGTTAGGTTAGGTTACTGTAACACAAGTAACTCTTAAGCCCGTAACAGGAGAGCATAACCTCACTGGTAACTAGGCAGGTAGATATGTCTAGCTCACCTGTCGCCAAACATTTCTGACATTATGGTATACACATAACATATTCACGAGTAGTCAAAATATATAACAATATATTTCAGGTCTATCAGAAGTCTATCCCTTTTCTGGTTAGTTTAGTTTGATAAATAATAAAATATTGGTGAGATTCCGCAGATAATGGTGAATCCCGACAGTGTGTGTGTGTGTTACATTTATCATTCCACCATTTCTTTAACCTCACAGTGATGCAGCATGAACAACTGTACAACACCCAGGTCACTGTACACTCCTGACACCATCATTATGCACAACACACCAGACTATCCTCAGTAACCTGTCTCTCCCTGACAACTTTGATCATCGCTCTGACAATAACCAAGTGTGTTGAGCTGCCCTGGGTGAGTTGGCTGATTACCCCCGAGAGTAGTAATGAAGGTGTAAGCTGCTGGTACATGAGGTGGGTCACATAGTGTGGTCTTGGCCAACATACAGCAAGTTTCATCATCACTCTATCCCTTACATTTGAGTCGTGTCATTAACCCTTTAAGACACAGCCTATATTTGCCTAAGGAGGTTTTTTTTTATAATGATATTACATAAAAATCACCATTACTTATTAAATTTTTCATAAACCAAGTGTTAACAAAGATATATTAGATTGAAAGTTTATTTAGTGGATACTGCAGGTGTTGCTATCCTACCATCACCTTACCAGACTTTCATGATATTGTACCAAGGACTGCAGGGAATATCTTTAATCCTGTTATAATACAAACTCGCTCTAGTCCATCCCAAGTACATACAATGTGGCTTAAGTTTACGAAATGTGAAGGAAATTTTCAGGGTCAATATACAGTAAGATTGTTTTAAAGGGAAAATTCTTACTCGTCAGGTGGACAAAGGATCGCGGTGGTTTTATTCTTCACTCTTACCTTTTTTACCTGAGTATATTTTTAAGGTGCACTGTTGATCCAGGTCAGTCAGATCAAACGGTACCGATAACAATATACCGCAGACATTGGTCGTACCGCCAAAATGACTGTTCAGATTTCAAACGCTCTGTTTACTAAGTGTGAGAGGGATAACAAAATTGTGTTAAGAAACTCTTGACTATGGTGGTATCCTCTTAGACTTAAGTAATTTTTGGTGTTGCGAGTTCTTATTGTTTTTATATACTAAAGACCCTTGCAGTAAGAGCTGTGACGTGCCGACGGTTTCAGCTTCTTATTTTTAAGTGCATTCTGTCTTTAAACACGATCGCTGCCATCGTTCAATGCTCTTTCGTCCTCTGGGTCGAGTAAATGTAAAAAGCTTTTTGTTGTTATGACCACAAAGTCTGGGAGGTTGACGGCTGCATCTGGCTGGCGGTTCAGAATCACACTGAGTCAGCCTTAGTAAAGAACTTCTCCTCTAAGATCTTTGCCGTGTCTTAGAAGGGCAGTAAGATATAAGGAGAGGGTCTATTTTTTGTAACAGTGATAGTTAGTTTTATACCTATTCCTCAGCAGACAGTGACTTCCAACAAGAGGACCCAATAATTATTCTTTCATCCAGCTTATTAATGTTCTTTGTTGACGTCCAGTTATGTGTAGTGTCAGATGTACACCTCTATCTTGGCCCATAAAACAATTTTACGGAAAGTATCGACACTAAGCTGACCTTAAAACATGATATTTACTTAGAGAGAAAAAAATTACTTGTATGAAATCATTGTTGGTGTTTAAAACATAAATAATTCAGAAAAAAAAACGTTATATTATTATATTCTCGCACGTAAACCAGTGTAACAATAATAGCTGGTTTCTTATTTCTGAAAACATTTGCCTGACACACGACAAAGAGTCCACCCTGTTCCTCCACCACTACCAGGAGACACTGTCTTCCCCTGACACACAACCATCAAGGCTACTCCTCCATTGTGTTACACAAAGAAAAACAAAGACATCACATAAATATTTTTTCCTCCAGTTCTTCAACACCTGATGTAAAAAAGTGTAGAGATTAAGTTCATAATATCGTCCCATCTGTTCCATCCACAGCCAACCAACCCCACCTTTCTTACTGTCTATGGTAGAACAAATGAAACTATTGCCACAGCATCACCCAGTACCTTGGAGGTCTGCTAGGCACCTCTCGGGGTCCAGGTAAACACAGGTGTGGTAGTTTAAGCTGACGGTGCAGGAGAGAAAATACCTGAAAAAGTCTTCTGGAAATTTTCTCGGTAAAAGAAAAAAACACGCGAAACATCTTTGTTCCTGGTCAGTTTTCTTTAATGAACCTCCCGCTCCTGGCTGCTTGAGAGCCGCTCACTACCTTGGTGAACGACCTTCCTCACGTTCTTTACCCTCGGTGCTTTGCTTCCTCCTCCTCCTTCTTCTTCCATTTCTTCCTCGTTCTTCTTTTTCTGCTTCCTTCCTTCATCCTTTTCTCATCATTCCTTGCTTCCTCCTCTCTCGTGTCAACAACTCTCATACACCTCCATTATTCTAAATCTCTGCATGTCACCCCTCACCCTCCCAGCCATCACTTACTTCCTCCCCTTCAATCCATTACTTTTCATCTCCCTTCCTTTCTTTATTCTCTTTCTCCTTCTATCTCTCCTTCTCCATCCTTCCTCACCAATATATATTCCTTCATTCACTCAAATACTCCTTCGTTCATTACTTCTCCATCTCCTCCACCAATACTCCACCTCCTCCAACACTACTCCACCTCTCCAATGCTACTCCACCTTTACTTCGCCTCCTCCACCACAACTCCACCACAACTCCTCCACCACACCTCCACGTCACGTCAACAAGAGTCATAAGCCAGAACTTTTGTCATTAAGTCTTGTTGTTAAGTTTAATATTTATAAAGAGTAATAAGGTGGCCAGCATGACTACCTCCCACAGCCTCTCAACCCACACCAAGATGTCTCAACCCACACCAAGATGTCTCAACCCACACCAAGATGTCTCAACCCACACCAAGATGTCTCAACCCACACCAAGATGCCTCAACCCACACTAAGATGTCTCAACCCACACCTAGATGTCCCCAACCTAGACTAGATGTCTAACCCACACCAAGACAAGTCTCCACACCAAGATGTTCCACACCAAGACACACCAGATGTCTCAACCCCAAGACCCACACCAAGATGTCCAACCCACACCAAGATGTCTCAACCCACACCAAGATGTTCCAACCCACACCCAGATGTCTCAACCCACACCAAGATGTTCTCCAACCCCACCAAGATGTCTCAACCCACACCTAGATGTCTCAACCCACACCTCACACCCACACCAAGATGTCTCAACCCACACCAAGATGTCTCAACCCACACCAAGACGTCTCAACCCACACCAAGATGTCTCAACCCACACCAAGATGTCTCAACCCACACCAAGATGTCTCAACCCACACCAAGATGTCTCAACCCACACCTAGATGTCTCACCCACACCTAGATAACAAATAACCTAACCCAAATGTTACCGATTCACAATATGTTATGATCTCTCTGTGTGAATTACGGTTCTAAAGTCCCCAAGCACAGGCGGGTGTATCACTGTGTCGGAATTTCAAAAACAGGAATTATTTCAGAATTGTCTCCACCAAATAAAAAATAAAAGTGACATTAGCCAAAAAATAAGGAATTAAGGCATAATGAACTGCCTGAAGTTTCAATTAAAAACTAAATCCGGATATTATAACAATTAGTTCTATCGGCTTTGTATTTTAAGGTGAGTGTGTTTTGAACAGTCGCACATAACAACCACCACACCCTGACGCAACGCTACCACACTTTGACACATCACTACCACACCCTGACGCATCACTACCACACTTTGACGCATCGCTACCACACCCCGACGCAACACTACTACACACCAACTTGTAATAATACCAGAAATATTGATGCTGCCATTAATCATAACAACGAGTTTGACACACACACACACACACACACACACACACACACACACACACACACACACACACACAAACACAAACACAAACACACACATACATACATACATACATACATACATACATACATACATACATACATACATACATACATACATACATACATACACACACTCCCGCTAAAACAAAAACCTAATGTGTACATGAGCTTCACGGCCACAAAAGGTAGTTTCCCCAAATTACGCCAAAAATTATTAGTGTGGTGGTCACGCAACATACATTACATAGCAAAAACATTTCCTGTGTTTGTTTGGCCACATGTTTTATATAATACGAATAATTATATAAGCACTGAAGCCTGAGGTAAAATGAGTTAGTTTATGTTGGTGAGTATATAATTGTTTTGTTAGTTTAACTATATAATAACACAGTGTTAAGCGTTGAGTCATCACCCCACACAAAACATTAGCTGGCAACTGTGATAAAGAAACTCAGAAATAAAATACCATCATATATAAGATCTTACATCACTATATAATGTCGGCACCGCCATGACACCCGCTGCTTTACCTTATTGGATGTTATAGTATATGGTATATCACACACACACACTGGTGAAGGGATGATAACAGAGATCGTAAATACTTGACCGACATCGCCAGCTAATAAATGGATTAACAAGCTACAACCTCCTACCTCATAACAGACTCTAATAAGCGGTGTTGAAGCGTCTTACCTGGAATCTGTAATGCGTGTACCGATTATCCCTCGAGAACGAATGGCTGAGAGAGCTCCGCCCATCCCTTATTTCATCACTCTACTCAATATAGCTCTGCAGGGGAGAGGGGGTCTGGGTGGGGTGGTGGGTCAGCCGGGGCACTGTGGAGGAGGAGGAGGATGGTGAGAGGTCCTCCTTATATTCCACCGTAAGTGTTGTTCGATTTCATGTCTTGGAGGATAGTGTAGGTGCGGGTGTAGGTGCGGGTGTAGGTGCGGGTGTAGGTGCGGGTGTGTGTGTTGTTGGGCTCCCGTTTATACTACCAGCAGTGTCTAGTAGGATGCTCTGTGGTAGCGGTACAAGCACGTCTCCCGGGAAAATTACTTTACATCCTTACGACAATAAAACCCTTAAGAGCAGACAAGAAAACTCTAGTAGTTAATATCACTAGAAAAGAATGACAAAAAAGAGTTACAAATATTAATAAAGATGGCTACACTGATGACTGCTCAATCCTGGACAGCTATCATTCAACTCTACAGCAAAATCGAGAACACTTTCACTTCTACAACAACAGCCTTAAGAAAAAGTACAATTGAGTCACCCTAACCCACCGAGCCTGACCACAATGTTGCTCTCAGATGAAACTCAGTAAGACTCAAGAACCAGGTACAGGAGAAGGAAGCCCTTAACAATATCGTGGACGACTCTACACTACAGTCAGAGATATTGGACGACTTGGACGCCCCTCCTCTACCCGACAACAACGACAACCCATCATTAAGGACGACCCACTAGACTACCACTGTATAAAGGTAAAAAAAAGTAAATGTAGAACCCTTCGCAACAAGGCAGTGAACACACACACACACACACACACACACACACACACACACACACACACACACACACACTGTAATAACTAAAAGTATTTTGAATCCTCTAAAAAAAAAAATCAGTGTAATTGTATCCCTTCCAGAATGGCACTTAGGTCATTCTTCCTCTGAGATCTGCCATATGTAGCCACAACGCTCAATAATTCTCGTATCATTATAACAATTATGTTATAATATTAATGATAAAGACAATATTATTCAATGCTGATGTGATGTGACAGCACTCGGGACACTCAAAGAACTATTTGTACTTGAGGTGATCAATGAATTTCAGAATGAACACTGTGACTCATGTTGTCTCGGTAGGGTTGTCAAAATCCTTCGTACATTGTGTTATATTTTCTCAACACAATTTTGTATAAATAATTTGTTTTGAGTAACTGTACACTGGTGACTCAAACAATAATCTGTGCTGGTTTTGATGAACATGATCAAATGGGTAATGTTGTTATATGATGAACACAAACTTTTAAATTATTTTATTTATAAACCGGAAATAACAGTTCTTTAGTCTGTTCTTCATCAGCTGTTGTAGGTGATGGTTCTAGAATGTTCTCACCACCAGCTGTTGTAGGTGATGGTTCTAGAATGTTCTCACCACCAGCTGTTGTAGGTGATGGTTCTGATGACACCATCTGACACCCCTGAACCAAGATCTCCTCCCTTGACAGAAACGGACAATAAATTAAATGAATATCGCTGTTATGAGGCTTCCTAGACGAGCCTGGAAGAATTTTCCATTTGGAGTCACACATTGAAGGCTCAGTTTAATGTGTGTCATTACTGGTTATGTTTCCTCTCCTCGTGCTGTGGTATGAATGCCTACGTCACTCTGCAGACCAAACAGATCACTCCGAGTAGAACGTCCAGATAAGGAGGAGAAAAATAATGTGTGTTTTTAACCTATAGTATACCCGAACACCTTGTGATGATGAGTCGACCTATTGATAGTTCACATGTGTATCACCTACAAGTTTCACCCTTGAGTATTATCCACGAGTATCACCTTTGAGTATCACCCTTGAGTATCACCCACGTAGAAAAACTTAGAACTCACAATGGTGTAAATTATTTCAGGGCGACATAGACTGTTATAGTTCAGGTAAAAATCCACCCGGTAATGTAGTTTAATCTGTGAATAATAACACCTGTCAGATTTACTCTACATGTTACGTAATACACATTTCTATGATTTATTTTATTTGTCACTGTTGTATAAATCGTCGCACAGTTATACCATTGACGAGAGGTTTATGTGTAACGGGTAAATGCGGTGTGACATCCCTTGCTTCAGCTGGACATGGCGTCATTCATTACACAACAGAATGTAGAGTCCCCGACCGGGTGGCAGTATGGAGGCCAGAACACCACAGTTTTCTTTATTCCAGTATTATTGAGGAAAATTAGACGTCATAGTCCTGGGAAATTTGTTTATATAACTATTTACTCTGAGATGCATTCAATTTAGAAGACTCAAGTTGTGACTCACAGAGATGTTGGCGAGAGATAACATCCGGGAACGTTCACATCTTTCTCAATAATGAAGACAGGTTGACACGTCTCGTCTGGTAGAGGCGAGAGTACCAGTGATAAACTATTTCCTTCCAACATGTACTTCGAGAAGAACCAGGTCTGATCTGTCTTTTATTCTCCTCCTCTTATTCAGTGACACATGAACTGTCTTAGACATTTGGTACACGGACTCCATATCATGAGGAACCACCAAGCGTAGATTAAACGATTAGTAATAGACTTTTTAACTTAACTGATGAGATTCACGCTCACTGAGACACGTGTTTGTGTTTCCAGGAGGATGGAGTCAGTCGCTCGTCAGCTCACAACTGAGAGAAAATTGTAAAGGACCTTCATATTTTTTACAAGAGAAAGTTCATGTGACAGACTGTAATGGGAGACGTCACTCAGTGTTTTAGCCACGTTCTTTGTATCTGAAGCTTCTTGTTTTTCTGTAAGAAGTTGAGTCTCCACAACATGGTGAAACTGACAGTTCTTCTGTGTCTACAGTTAATTAATTTACTTCTCAGTTATTGGTGACTCTTCAAGAAAGAAGTTTCATTCATTAAAGTTCTGGAAGAGGAAATATTTGTGAGTACATGAAGCATCAGATGTCTCGTGTGTGAGGAAAACAGCCGAGGGTAATAATTATCTTGCTGTATATTATATTTTTGATCTCACTCTTTATCTTTCTTTCTTGTCTCTCTCTCTCTGTCCCCTTCACCGCAGGAGAGCGGCAACATCCAGTGAGGAGTCTTACTCGAAGAGAAGGAGGAGGAGATCTCCTTCACCCAAGAGGCTCTTAGGGACTGGATATCTATCTTGTGGTGCATCAGGGAGACAAACCTTGTTACATCCTGAATGACCAACTGTTGGGACAAGGACAATCTCTGTGTGTATAGACCGAGCGCTGAGTGGTGACTGTGAGACAATATCCTGAGTTAAGGACGCTGAGGCGGTGAACACTAAGTGAGGGAGGTTATTACGGGTTCTGTATTGTTGTATAAGACTTAACAGCGACGGTCTCCCCGTGTATACACGAGACTCTGAGTGGAAACGATGTGACAACAATCCTAATGTAAGGTTGTGTAAACAATGGCGACTACTTGGAGGTTATCACACACCAACGATGCTGTTCTGTTGTTGATACCATCCACACTACGGCTCCCCCAGTCTCTGTGTGGAGGATCAGTGAACTTCGGAAACTTGAGAGACAATAATTATGAGTAAGAGAATGATGAAGTTCTCTATTGTCAAAGTTTTTTTTTATGTTGTACAATAGTTAGCTTCCGTCACTTAACCTCCTTTCAGTCTCCGTGAAGGACGCGTGTTGGTGATAAAACCTAACCTAACCTAACCTACTTTACGTATCATTTTGTTACCTCAGGAGAGTAAATGACACCTTAAGTGAAAGA